GGCTTTAGCTTCTACATATAGACAAACTCCTTCTACTTCCTTCTTTTATCAGTCTCTACTTTTCTGCAACCAAAGATATTAAAACCATGTCGATAATTAAAAACCGATCACATTGTAAACGAGCTTCAAGTTGTGCACTATGGCTTACAATGAAAGTTGTGTACTATGGCTTACAATGACTATCTTTTCAGGCATTCACTTCTTTCTATCTGCCTCTATCAACCCTGGAAAGAACCAAGACGAGAATTCGCTGAGGTGTTAATGATTGTAATGCAATAATGACTTAACAGAGATTTGGCACATACAAGTAGCTATGCTGATTGAAGTGTTGAGGCTGCATTATTTTCTGCAGTAACAGCGAGTGTAGCACAGTTCTCTTTCTCAGGCTCGGGCTCCTGGACTCCACCGATCTTTGTTGGGGAAGCAAAGAAGCTATCAGGCAGAACATTATCCAGACTTGTCTCTTGCCTTGATCAACGATTGTAAAAGCAGGTATAAGCATATGGATGTAACCAGTTTTGAATCTGGAAATGGAGAAGACTTAAAGCAGCCAGAAAATGATGAGAATTAATCATACCCTTTGTTATTGTAACCAAGTTCTTGGCTGTTGTTATGATCAGTCTCATTCAGAAAAGCTCGGTTTGCCTCAGACTGAAAATGTCCTGAATCACTGTTACCTGCAAAGAGGAAAGATGGAAAGAGGGAAAAGAGTGAATAAAAGCTAAGCAAAGCCAAGTTCCATGAAGGGGAGACAGAATTACCTTCTATAACTTCTTCACCGCCGTTTTCTGATCGAAAGAGCATACTTTGATTGGCACGAGAGGGAAAATGAACGGGGGAGCTAATAGAGAGACTACGCTGGTGATGGTGAAACGACTCACTATCCATGTCGGGCAACTGCAGATTCAGAAATCTTCTCCTTTGGAATTCTAGCGCTTGTTGCAGGTCAGCTTGCTCAGCTTTTCTCCTCATCATCTCCTGTGTGTTAGAAAACAACCTTGGTGCTGTTGCCGCAAACAAAACAAGACCGGTCTTAGTACAACCAAAAAATAAACAAGAGGTTGAGCTCTCATAATACCATATCTACAAGGAGAATGAAGCAGAGGAAAGAAGTTCAACTAACCGACGTGACAATCAAAGAGATCCCTGGAATCCATTCCAGATGGACTTGAACCAGGAGAGAAGTTCCCTCTCTCTATCTGCTGCAGCAGTTGTTGCTGCTGCCTCCTACTGTAGTTTGATGAAAAATAAAATAAGAAAATGGAAACCGAAAGAGATGACTGTGAGAAAGACAGAGAGAAACAAGACAAGGCAAGGCGACATACTTTTCAAGGATTCTTCCTTTCTCCTTGTACGGTTTCACAAGCACACGCGAGTCGCAGATGAAATGAGGGTTTCCTCTGGCCAATATGAT